CCTCTAGGGGTGGAGATTCCACACCCCCCCTCCATGAACCCCCATCCATGCACCCTCTCCTGCTCACAGCCCCCCTCCATACACTCCCCTCCTGCTTACAGCCCCCCTCCATACACCCCACTCCTGCTCACAGCCCCTCTCCATGCACCCTCCTCCCGCTCACAGCCCCCCTCCGTGCACTCCCGTCTATGCACCTTCTCCTGTTCACAGCCCCCCTCCATACACCCCCCTCCATGCACCCCCTCCTGCTCACAGCCCCCCTCCATGCACTCCCCACCCCCCGCACAGCCCCTGCTGCTTAGCAGGAGCTCTGGGGTCACCCTATATGCTGTGAGGCTTCGAGCTTCTTCGCTGGGCCTGAGGGAGGTGGGGCCGCTAGGCCCTGTGGCCCTGGGAACAGCTCAGGCTGTTCAGGGTTCAGCTGGGGCTCAGCTGTTCCTAGCCCTGCTGTTCAAAACGCACGTCGCCTTCCCAGGCTGAGTTTGTCCAGCGTCCGCTTCCAGCCCTGGGACTGCATCCGATCTCCCTCAGCTAGGCCGACGGGGCCGCGGCTGCACGTTGGGTCCCCGTGTCGGTCCTCACAGACCCATCCACGTCACCCCGAGCCTCTCGGTGTTAAGCTCCATAGCTGGAGCGCCCCCCGCAAAGCAGGTTTCCAACCCTTCCCTGGGCCCTCGCAGGGTCACCACTCCCTGAATTGGGGCCCCCACGCTGAGCACCGGGAGGTCAAATAACCATCTGCCCCTGCCTGAGATTCCCTAGTTCTGCAGTATAGAGTCACAGCCGCTCTACTCCCAGTCAGCTCCTTAGCCACCCTGATCCTCCGGCGGGTTCTGGAGCCCCTGCACCCCCGGGTAGATCCCCTCCTGTATGTACGGCCTACCTGCACCTGGGGTGGGGAGGAATCTGGTCTGGGAACCGTGGGGCAGGGGGCAGGAGGAAGGAGGTGAGGGAGACAGATCTTCTAAGGAGCCGGTGCCTGGGGGGGCGGGGAGGACTGGGACTGGCTGGGACTGGGAGCCAGAGAGGCACTGAGATTGGACATGACGATCAGGGAGGGGGGCTGGAACCGGGG